CACCTTTTTAGAGAAAAACATTAGTTAACATTTGGACATTTTGACTCTAGGAGATTGTTAAAGACAGTTTGAGGAACAGCAGAGAGTTGAAAGCTTAATTGAACAAACACTGATGATTTAGACGTGATATAAAATGGTCCATCAACCAGGAGGTTTTACTGGAAGTACCTGATAAAAAATGTTTGGATGCAATAAACATTTGGCAGCTGGGTCAAAGAACCAGGAGTTAAGCTCAAGTATTTGTGTCACTGGTGTGTTTCCCATGGTGTTCAGAGTCAGGACTGTTGTCAGCATCAGCGTAACAGTCCATCCATGTTTTTCCTGTTGTGTCCTCTCCAGTTTTGCCTTGCACACGTATCTGTACGACACAAAACAGATCATTAGTCAGCGCTTTCCAAACTGGCTCATGAGCTTTTTTCTGTTCTTTTTTCCTCTTGGATCCCCATGTGGTTACGTTTAATCAGGTAAAACTACAGCAGCATTCAACACAATCTACTGCAGCGGATGTTTAAACATTTGAAATCTGAGGCAGCAAAGAAAACACTGGTGCCCTCTTAGATGCTAATCCTAACTCTAAGATTTTGCACCATAAATGCACCAGGATGTCAGCCTCTTAATTCAATACAATCTGTCCACAAAACCCATTTAAGGGGAAACCTTTGGTGAAAAAACTGCACAGAAAAGTCACAAATCAGTTGGTACATAAAGAGGTTAAACTGAGATTTAACGTGAGCTCAGAGAAACGTTCCTCTTCAGCAGGTTCATGTGAGGACAGCCTTCTAGTGTTTAAACAGGAGGAATGATTACAGCAAACGAAACTGTTTGCAGTCTACATGGGGTGAGTTCACTTTTACTAATGTTTAAGACAGATTTCAAAAACTGGTGAACCCAACTATGGGTGAGAAGGACAGAAAGATGAAAATGTGTTGACTTACTGTTCGTTCACGTAGTACAGAATGTAACGTACACCACACCAGCACCAGTGCAAATGTAGGTCCCTGAAAGGACAGAGGAAACATGTTAAGATTTGTTCTTGGCTTCTAAGATAACATCCATCCATTTTCCACCCCCGCTTCTCTTTCTGAGGGTCACAGTGTGCACTTGGGGAGGCTTTTTGTTACTTTGCACTGTTTCACGTATTGCATGTGACTATTTTCCACATGCAAGTTAAGTGGTTAAAAATGAAATGTAAAATGCGTTTTTCATTTTCAAACATAATATGCAATATGTATTAATACTTTAATATATATGTTACAGTATAATACAATTTAGACACTTTAATATACAAATTAATACTTTAATATATATACTTTTCTGGCATTTTTCTGACATTTCTGTACTTTACTTACGCTTGGGTTCGCTTTGTTCTTGATCTGGTTTTTTGTACCACCTACTGAAAAAAGACCAAAGTGATGAAGAATGTCACAACAAGCTTTTATTGTATCATTTTGCATATATATATAAATATATATA